AGAGACCAAACTGGGGGCTTAAAGGGTTCTGAAGGGAAGGTTGGAACCTGGGGCGGGGGGTGCTCTGGCTCAGAGGGACCCTAGTGAGGCCTGGAGTGCTGAGCCTGCCCACAGGAACCAGGCCCTGTATTATGCTAGAGGCACTTCTTGCCAAGTTTGATGCAGAACCTTTTTTCTCTATCCCCTTTGCTGAACTATTTTAAGACGCATCTGTATCTAACGGACCTGTTTTACTGCTGTATTTCTAGTTCTTAGAACAGTGCCTTAGACATAGGGGGCCCTTATTTTTTGAATGAGCAGTTGAGCTGGCACCTGGTCCTGGCCAGGTGGCACTTCCAGTACTTAGGGGCACTACTGCCTCCCTGGCTTTGAATCAGCTCCGTCAAAGGGTGGGGCTGGCGCTTACTGACCCCAGCACCTGACAGTGGGCTTGCGGCAGGGACACTGGTTATTTTGAGTCGGAGCCTGCACATATCCCAATCATCTGCTTCACAACCCACAGCAGCGATGTCCAACCTTCTCACTGTGGCACACATTAACTACTAAAATGCTGCGGCACACCAAAATATGTATTTTTTTTGCCGATCAGACAGAAAAAAATGGTATAGTTTTGATTCATTCACACCGAATGGCTACTGTTGTGTTGACTGTTGTCATTCTTTAATTTGTCGCTCTAAGGCAGCGGTTCTCAACCTGTGGGTCGCGACCTGCATATCAGATATTTACATTACGATTCATAACAGTAGCAACATTACAGTTATGAAGTAGCAACGAAAATAATTTTATGGTTGGGGGTCACAACATGAGGAACTGTATTTAAAGGGCCAGAAGGTTGAGAACCACTGCAAAGAGGTCAGTGCTCTCGACTAAACGGCCAGGCATTGCCAGCTTTAAAAATTCCTGCAGCACACCAGCTGAAATTCGCTGACCTACAGGATGAATTGTTACAGTTTTACGTTTATCAATTTTTCCTCTTTTGAGCTTTGGTAGAGAAATAGAATTCTGCCAAGAGAGAGCAAAAATTTACGAAAAATCATTATACAGTGTCAGGTTCAATCAGACATGAATCAGTGTGAATGCACATGGATAAACCCCGAAATGGAAACACACCATAATTTAACTGACACACACTGAAACTCTGGGATGTTCCTCCGCTCAAAGTGCTGAACACAGCAGGGGTTGTAACAGAGTCAATAGCTATTTTAATCCTTTGTAAAAGATAAAAGAGGGCAAACTGCTAGACAGATGACTAGGCAGGAATATGTATCTGTGAATGGCTAAGACAGAATATACATGTTTTTCTTATTTCTTCCAAACAGGCCCAGACTAAACCCTAACCTATGGAGCTCACTCTGGAGAACATATTGCTGTCTGGTCTTCAAGCTCTGTGCTCACTATAAAGTCCAGTGCCCAGAGCAGGGAGAGGATTCCATTAGGGACAGTTTCACCCCCACACCCCCATGGCACACACAGCGGGGAGCACACAGCTCCCAGCCAACACCGCCTGTGCCTGTGGTCCCAGCAGGCGGCAGTACCTGAGAATCGGTGCCGGCAGGACCCCTCACTTCTCAGTGCGTGGTGAGCTCCCTCGCAGAACCCTTCTGTTCTGAGACACACGCTGATCTACACCCAACCCAGCTCCAGCTGACCTCACCCCATGTGGGCCTTTCCCTTCCTGTCTGGGTGACCCTTTCACCCCTTACAACTGGCACCTGCTGCCACTGCCCTGGGGAATGTCTCAGGCCACCAGTTCTGCACCTGCCCCCTGCATACACAGGCGATTACTTCAGGAGGGTGGGGAGGCTACCCAGGGAGTGCCGGCAGCTCCAAGAACACCGACAATCCCACCCCAGCAGGCCCTGAGCGCTGGCAAGGCTCCCGTGGGCCACGAAGAATGGGCCCCCACCTCTGTCACAGGTAGAGTGACAAGGCAGTGCCACAACCTGAAGGAGCTGGAGGCAGACGAAGCAATGGGGCAGCCAGAGCACGAGAAAGTGTTTCAGAGCAGCTGGGGCCTCACGACAGGCTCAGCTCACTTTCCAACCCCAGACAGTCTCATTGGCTCAACCAGTTTTTCCAGTGACGCTTCAATGCTGGCTTCCTTGGTTTCTAAGCTGCTGGGTTTCAAAAGTAAAATGAAATAACAAAAACTCCAACTTTTTCAAACGGAACAAATAAATAATAGTAACAATATTTACACAAGTACATCACACCGCGAGTCGGGCAGGACCGAGGGGTGGAAAACCTGGGACGGTGCCCTGGCCCTGGGGCTCAGCCCCTCGTTCCTGGGAGCCACTGGACAGACAGGTGAGGTGGGGATGAGTGAGGCCGCCTCGTGTCAGAGAGGTAGAGTGGGCGGCAGGTGTGGAGAAACCTCAGCTGTCCTGGCCAAGCACTGTGGGGTGGTCAGGGTCACTGGGTGAGCTGCTCCCGGGGTGCAGGGGGCCTGCCCTGGCTGCTGGCATGGTGGGGACATCAGGGCCTCTGTTCCAAGGAGCACAAAGCCAAGGCAGCTGCTGGTCTCGAGCCCCTTTCTAGACAGGACGGGAGCCGAGGGCAGGAGGGGTCCCCTCTTCCCGGGACTATGTGACAAAGGGGATGTGGAATTCCTTTGTGTCGAAGATCAGGGGCCTCCTGGTAGGGCTCGGGTCCCTGTTGGCCTTGTGGAGCAGCTTGAAGAGCCCGGTTCCAATGTTCATGGGGATCCCCATGATGATGCATTCGGATACCCCTGAAACCAACCAGAAGGAGATTAGAGAGCTTCTGACACACAGTGGGTCGTCAGGACAGAAACACTGACGTAGGAGCCAGAAACTGGGATTCAAGTCCCAGCTCCACGACATATCAACTGGTTGAACCTGGGCTGGTCACTCTACTCCTCATCTATGACAAGGGATGCTGCGAAGTGCAGGCTGGCACTGTGCTCCTAGCTGGTGGAGAGATTTACACTTGGGAGAAGGGCAGTGCCTGCCCATAGCCCGGCTCCCAGCTGGAGACTGATGGCTCAGTGGTTCTCTCTCCTAGCAAGGCTGGTGAAGGATGCACAGGGAATCCCGAGTTCGCCATCCAGTGTTTGCTTAACTTAGGCCCAGAAGAAAAGCAAACAGGACGACATGGTCAGGTGATGATCCCTGGAAATAGCAATAGCAAGTTGTTCACTGTGCTTAGCGCCCAGGCCTGGGCCAGGCTCGAAGGCGGCCCTAGCCTTGGGAGAGCACAGCTCTAGCCGGAGACACTCAGAAGGCAGGGCTCCCTGGAGAGCCACAGAGTAGGGAGGAGGTGCAGATTCTTTCTCTGAGCTCCATTTCGGCTTCACAAGATCCAGTGTTGGGCTTTGCAGCCGGCTTCTGGCTCTAAAACAAGCAAGTGTGTGCCTACTACATTCTGGGCTCGGTGCTATCGGGAAACCAGAGAGGCAACCAACCAAACTAAAACCAACATGCGGTGAGGACCACATTCCGTTACAACGTGTAAAGGACCAGGAGGAGAGAGAAGATTTCACAGTGGGGGTGGGTGGCTGTGCCAGGCCCCAAAGGGGTCAGCAGCGGAGAGAGGGGCAGTGGGCAGAGCCAGAGGAAGGCAGCAGGGCTGCAGCACAGGCCCAGGGCCTACATCCTGGGGGCAAGGTTAGGGTGCTGGGTCTTAGCGGCCTTGTCAAGCACAATTGCTCTTACCTTTACCTTGGCTTTGCCTTCTCTGCCCTAATCTCTGCTCCTTTTTCTTTCCTTTCACCCTTTA